GCCTCCCATGCTGACCAAATGCATAGATTAAACAGGTAGGTTTCAGAACAGGGTGAAACTTTATTTTATCATGGGTGTGGAGAGCCCCTAAGCAATGTTTATCTAAGGCTGAGAACATATGTCCTACTAGATGCTGTCAGACTACAATTCCCATCATCACTTGCTAACATACTCAATGGTGAAAAATAGCAGATTGTTATTATTATTAATACTATATTTGTTTATTGCAGTTTATTATTTATTACAGAGAATTTGTTTATTGAAAACTGCAATCCAACAACATCTGGAAGACTACACAATATCCATCCTTGGCTTATCCATAGTGCTTCAGTGTACACACAACCTTCTATTATTTCAACAGTGACATTGGCCAGATGGAGGGAAGTGGAAAGGGAGATTTTTCCTGCAGTCACAGGATATGCAGAAATGGAGATGAAAGCCTAGTATTGTAACCAACATGACACATGCTGCAGTAACTTCTAGGCTGGATTGCAGACAGCCAGAATGGTGTAGTGGTTTCAGCATTGGACTGTGACTCTGGAGAACAGATATGAATCCCTGCTTGGCCATGGAAACCTACTGAGTGACCTTGGGCAAGTCACACACTCTCAGCCTCAGAGAAAAGCAAAGGCAAACCCACTCTGAACACATTTTGACAAGAAAAACTCATGACAGGATCACCATAGATCAGAAACAACTTGAAGGCACACAACAACAACAACAACAACAACACTGTAGTTCACACTGTGTTTATAAACTAAACCATTTTACAGTACAGTGGTTAGGTTCCTTGTAGATTTTAGCTAGAAGCATTGTTTTATATTTATCCCTAAACCATGTAAAGCCTATTATACAGTGTCCAGGTCATTTATTCTCCAAAAATATGCAAATAAAAACAATTTTCATTCAAGAACACAAAGGCAATGATTTCCCTAGATCACACTGTTAGCTAGCATCAGTACCTACAGTCATTCTTAAACCTCATCTAGAGACCTACCTATTTCCCACTGTTTTGCATTGTGCAGATTACAAAAGCCAAGCAGTAAACTTATTAGTATACAGCAAAACCTTCCTTTCCACAAGACTCCTGTTAATTCTTTGCAAGAAAATAATGCAGATCAGCATTTAATGACAGACTGACAATCCATCAACATCAACTCCTGAACAAAAGTTGTTCTTAAACTTGCATAACTGCTTGATTAAGTACAACTAATTAGAACATTGTTAACAGAAATAAATGAAGCTGCTTTTGTTAACAGCAGAAATTTAGAAATCTGAAGATATCTAAAAATAACAAACAGGCAGACTAGGCACACATACCAAGAATTCCAAGGTATCCTGTCTGAAGTACTGGGACCTTTGATAGATATTTGGCCAGGAATGAAAGAGCTATTGTTTGTTTGCCCAAGTACCTCAAGTGTACCTAGCAAAACTGGCTTTGAATAGTACAGTCTGCATGCCATAACACAAACTGCTTCTGAAAGTCCCTGCAGCTTCAACATTAGTATGCTATTTGGTATTGAAGGTGGACATCCAAGAAAATCATCCAAAGCTCCCTGCAGTGTGTGGAACTAACTGTGTGGTTATTTGGATCCAAGCCACTGCCCTAGTTCCTGTAATATGCACTACCTCATTTCAGGTAGGAAAAAACCACTTTCTGCTAGGCCAAAATCTTTGGCCTTCAGCATTTGGTCAGACAGCAAACATATTGCACATGCTGAGCAGTCAAACATGTTCAGCATTTTAAAAACAAAAGCTTGTAACACAAAATCAACGCCTAATCAGCATGATCCACAAACCTGGCAGATGCTGCATAAGCAAGCTATAAAAAGCAACAAAGACAGGTTAAACTTTACTAAGCAGGATGTCCTTCAGCCAAATAAGAAAACTAGTGCGACACTGCAAAAGGGCAACTTAAAAGGTCCTTTCATTGTCTGACCTTTTCAGCAGAAGATGATTTTGCAGGTCTCTTCTGGGCAGTTTATAGCAGAAACCTATCCCACTGTACTCTGAAAGACATTACCCCAGTAGCTCACAGCCCAAGTTGAGGTGGGGGCCCATACTAACATTTCAGGGCACACCTTTGTATTACTTTATATTTGCTCACAAATACACTGGCTGACTTCCAATATTGGGTGATTCAAAAAGAATGATACATAAGAAAAGCTGTTCTTATTCTGTTTTGCACCATTCTTTTTTTTATTCACTCTATATAAAAGAATTAATGTATCACTGCAGTGTGAGTCAGTGTGGTGGAGTGGTTGGAGTGTTGGACTACGACTCTAGAGACCAGGGTTCAATTCCCTGTTCTGCTATGAAACCACTGGGTGACCTTGGCCATGTCACATGTTCTCAGCTTCAGGGGAAGGCAATTTGTTCTCCTCTGAACAAATCTTGCCAAGAAAATCATGTAAAAGCTTCACCTTAGGATCACCATAAGTTGGAAATGACTTGAAGGCACACAACAACAAATATCACTGCAGTACTAGAGATTGATCAATCTTTCATTTTCTAAAATATAGGCATTTTTGAAGCACACATTCATTCAGTTCTGTTTCTAGTTTCTACGACTGCTCTGCAGAGGGGCGGGATATAAATTATTATTATTATTATTACTTCAATTTATCCTTATTTTGATTAGAAGTCTGCCCAAAAATTCTACTCATTTTTGTATGCATTCTCCCTTAACCCTCAACTTAGTTAAAGGAATACTTCAGTATCTCAGAGAAATGCTTTGTTGCAAAACAGAACTAGATCTACAAGATAGGTGTTCAATATTTACAAGATAGGTATTTGATGACATGGCCACCTTAAAAAATCTCCCAGAAATTTAACTAGCTATCATGTATAGCTTTCTTAATTAAAAAAAAGTGGGACAAAAATCTGCTGCATTCTGTCATTGGATGTTCCCCCTCCCCTCAAAGTCGCATATAAGGACAAAAAATGCCCATGCTATCTTGCAACTGAAACAAGAAGAATTGATATGAATTGTTTGATTGAGGAATAACCCCTTTCGCTGCTCAATGGTGCATGCTCACAATCCTGTCCAGAAGGACTGCTCAAAGATACCAATGTTATGAGTGGCAGTAATGGAGGATATAGTACAGATAGCCACAGACAGTTCATACAGCATCCAAAGACAACATTCAGGAGCCAAAAGTAAAGATGTAAACAAAAAACAGTCCTTAAAATCTCTGACCCACTCCACAAAGAATGAATTCTTTAGCACATGATCCATTAAACTGAGGAACAGAATATATTCAAAGCATGAAACAAGAGAAATCCTACCAAAGTCTATGTGTGGGAACCCCCTGACATCACTAAACTGAAGGCAAAGGTTACTACTCCTGGCAGGGGTGTGTCACAGACAACATAAAGTTTTGATGGAACTGTAACATTTCATCTCAAAGTGCTGTGTCTTACCAGGCTGTGCACTCACAAAGTACTTGTGCTTCAACAGTCGGACAATGAGATATGTAGTCACTGATAAACTGGATGCCTCACAAGACATGCAATCTATGTTTGTTGGGCATCTTCAAATATAGTACCGTATATACTCGACTATAAGTCAAGTGCAGGTTTTGGGACCAAAATTATGGATTACGGTACTATATTTGAAGATGCCCAACAAACATAGATTGCATGTCTTGTGAGGCATCCAGTTTATCAATGACTCTACATATCTCATGGATAAGTTGGGGGTAAAAATTAGGGCATCTAACAAAGGATGTAAAGGATGAAGCAAAGGAAAACAATGCCAAAGAACTTACAAAATTCCAGCAGGCATAACTTTGCTCATACTAAAGGCTGGATGGATGAAAAAATAGAGGGGGTTCAGTGCTTCCACAGCTTTTCACCAGGGGATGGTTCCTTTTTAAAATAAGAGTTAACACCAAGTAAACCATGATAATATGCCATGAAAGTGTAGTGGTATGGCAATACAAAGTAATCATATTCTCTGAAAGGAGACATTTACCTGGGCAGGCAACTTTGTATATCACAGAAAGCCCAGCTAGTTTACAATATGGTGACAACACTAATTGACTCATGCTTTCACATGAGATAAAATGTGACAGATAGTTCTTCAGCAGCTTTAGAATTGGCTTAAGATCTGCTAACCAATTGACTATGTTGTTACTGGGGTAAACAATATTATCTGTCATCGTTAATGGCTAGGTCTTATTGAAAATAAATAAAAATAACTGTTTTTGACTGTTTCCCAATTTTGGAGGTTTGAAACAGCTGAAAATGTATACTGAAGATACATAAATTATGTTACTTTTGCAGAACAACAACTTCAATCAATCATGTCTCCCCATGATCGTGTGTCTTCTAACTCTAGGTGACTTTTGGAATCATCTTCATTCTGCCTACTGTAAATACAATGAAGGCACCAGATCCTGTTTGATCTTAAAAGCTAAACAAGGTTAGCCCTGGTTAGTACTTGCATGGGAGAATGCCAACAAATCCCAGGTGCTATAGGCTATATTTCAGAAAAAGGAACTGGCAAAACAACTGAGTATTCCTGGCCTTAAAAATCCTATTAAATTCATGGGATTGCCATAAATTGACAGGTGACTTGCAGAAGGGGGGGTACTTGAAGCTGTCTGGGGAAGGAAGGGTAGGCATATCTTGAGTTAATTCTTTGAAAGAGTCCTTCAGCTCTGTTGGATTGATCCTTGCTGGGGAGAAAAGTTGGAAGCTGGCTGCAGCACTCTCCACCCCAGCAAAGAAAGCGTTTGAGAGTCCTCCCTTGCTGAAGAAAAGCTTCTTCCATTGCACCCAGTCACCTTGGCAATAGCAACCGAGCAGAAGTAACCAAGAAGACTTCATCTGCCAGCCTTTGCCAAAAGGCCAGCACAAGTGAGAGGCTTCTTGGTTGCTGCTCCCAAAATGATCAGGTGCAAAGGCAGTAGCAACTGAGATTAGCTATTTTGAATTTGCAGTAGAACAGTAGACCTAAAATCAAGGAATAGGCATGGGGGAGGCACTAGGGCTGTCGCCCAAATGGAAAAGGGTTGGTAGTCTGAAAAAGTTTGGTCACCACTGGTCTAGACTAAATTGGTATTTATCGTTTCAGATTACCTATCATACTTAAAGTTCTCATCTGAATACAGATCTACTATATTTATCAAAGCCTGTCTAGGTATGGTGATACATGGAGTGAAACTACTACTACAATCAGCATTGACAGGTAGCAGCAAGCATATTACACTCAACAGGTAACTTGAAGATGCACAAACACACACATTCTTCATTCTACATCCACAATCATCTGTGTCAATGTAGGACAATTTTATCCCCTGAGATCAGCAGGTTGGCAGTTCAAGACCTGGGTGCTGAATGATGGGGTGAGCTCCTGTCACTAGTCCCAAGTTCTGCCAACCTAGCAGTTTGGAATCATGCAAATGCAAGTGGATAAATAGGTACCACTTTGGTGGGAAGGTAAATAGCGTTCTGTGCAATCATGCTGGCCACATGATCACAGAGTAGTCTCTGACAACGTTGGTTCTTTGTCTTAGTAATGGAGATGAACACCGACCCCTATGGTCAGACACGACTTGACACCCTTGTCAGCGGGAAATACTTTTACCTTTAAGCTCTAACACCTTTATACCCATCTATCACCAAAAAGCCAGGACATACGAGGGGGTATTGTAAAGTAATAATTATCACCAGAAGTTATTATGTTATATTGATGAAATTTTGACAGTGTCATTATTGGTCCCTAAGTGCATTGTGTCCTTTATTTTTGTGACAGGTTGTGCCAGAAGTGAGTAAAGTGTAAGATGGAGAAGAGGGGTATCGTAAAGTAATAAGTATCACCTGGAAGTTATTATGATATATTGATGAAATTTTGTCAGTATCATCATCACCAAGTGAATTTTTCTTTTCCCAAAAATGAAAAGTCTGTTGCGGACTCACCAGTTTGACAACATAGATGATGTCATTCATGAAATGGAAGACTGTCACAATCTGCAGACTTCTATAATAGTGCTATTCAGAGGGTCAAGAAATGCTGGGAAAAATGTGTAAATATGGATGATGATTATGTAGAGATGTTAACAACTACAAATCAAAACAAACTTTGCCAATTTTTTTAAAGGCGATAATTAAAACTGTTTGACACCTCCTCATAATATTATTTTTAAATAAATGCAACAGAATTGCTATAGGTTGAATACCTCCACTGATCCTTCCAGACCCACTATCTAATATAGCTATTCATAGCTACCAATTGTTCATCCATATAGGAAGATAGCACACATGTGTGTAGCTGCCTCCATGTTGCCTATCAACTTATTGTGAACCCATGAATATCATTAGGTTTTCTTAAGGAAGGAATACCTAGGGGTGGCTTTGCCAGTTCCTACTATTCCAAGGAGAGCCAGCACGGCATAGTGGTTTGAACGCTGGACTAGGACTCTGGAGACCAGGGTTCAAATCCAGCTCAGCCATGGAAACCCACTGGATGACCTTGGGCAAGTCACACTCTCTCAGCCTCAGAGGAAGGCAATGGCAAAACCCCTCTGAAGAAATTTGCCAAGAAAACCCCATGATAGACTTAGAAATGGCTGTTCCAAAATAAACTGTTCCAAAAATATGTCAATGGCAAAGATTACAGCAAAGCACTGGGGAAGAAAAATTTTCATATGCACAACACTTGCCAAGAATATTCACAATCCTTTAATACCTGAATATGACACACACAACTAGTAGGAGCAATGCTGGAGAGGATGAAGATTCTTTTAATTCAAACTAATTCAAACACAAAACCTAAGATTTTCTACCTAATGACCAGTATTACATACTGGAGTCCACCAAGTTTGTTTTGTTTTACTATCTAAATAATTATTTATGATCATCACCACTCTGTCCTTTGTGTCTTATGACATATAAAGCTATGAGGAAATACAGGAGTTTTTCCTTTCAACTGGCTTTTGCACAGTGAAATGAAAAGGGAAGAAATCACCTCTTCTTTTCACCTTTTTCTCAAAGTACAGGAATAGTCATCTGTGGGGAAAGAGCATTCACTATTGTCAATTGTGCTAAGTTATAAGAATATTAACGAAACAGAAGTGTAACATGCTATTATTAATATGCAAACACATTAAGCTACAAGGTAGCCATCATTCTTGCATTTTTAATAGTCAGTATTTTTGGCTTATCATTAGTTTATGAAAGCTCACGTCAATAAACCAGTTGTCTAAACATAGCACACCTCTCTTTTTTCTGCTTCTAAAATAAAATGGGAGTATATGCTACACATAAAACAACTATTCCTACAGCATTAGTAACAGACTGGGTTTAAAAC